GAGTAAAAAACTCCCGATTTTTGCCACTTTCTTTGACAGCTTGATGGTTTATTATAAGGTGAGTATCTTTATACTCGCTTCCCAACAGAAGCCTGTCTGTGTGCTCCATTTCAATTACAAACCCCTCCCATCCTCAAAAGTAATCACTACCCTGACTTTGATAGTCATCATGTTTCTGTATTTCTTTAAGTGTATACATAGACATTATAATTTAGTCTCATTTTTCAATTCTGTATCTTTTAAGCCTCTTTTAATCTAATAATCCTCTTCATTTCTTTTTCTTGCAATTCATCTATTGAAGAACTCAGTTATTTGACTTGTACGGTTCCTCACAGTCTGCATTTTATAGATTTCACATTCACTCACTGTGTATTTCAACATGGTGTATTTAAATTGGCAACTGGATCCAGAGGCTTGATCAGACTCAGGTTTAATTCCTTTGGTAAGACTTCATATTATCATGAATGTAAACATATTTAATGGGTTTCAGTCCATCTAATTATTACCTTTATTGAACCTCAAAATGTCACGTTTGGCCAATGGAGCCTCTTTAGGTTGGCTCCTGAGTCCTTTGAACATAACCCTCAAAGTCTTGAATAGTTCCTCTGCACTTTAGTATGACAAGATATTTCATGTTCATTCTATATATTCCCTGTCCCAGATCTAGAATCACCCATATCTCCAAGAAGCCCTTGTTTCTTTTAGTGGGATTTGGTATTTCAAGACGAATGAAATGGCAAGGATAATTCTTACTACCGAAAAGATTCAGGAAAAAAGAAAAAAATACACACACACATATATGTGTATATGTATAGATGTATGTATATGTCATTCTAAGTGACATATGTCACTTAGCTATTCATTGTAATCATTCATTTTACACAGACATTCTCAAAATACTACTACTACCACCATCAATACACTGAAAAGTTTAAAAACTTTTGCTGACGTTCTCCCCACACCCTTTAGTAGTTTATAGCAGTTTTGTACCAATATTTCAGAATATAAATCCATCTCAGAGTATGCTCTTTTAATCCTGTTTTAGATGTCAATTTATTAATTCTCATCTCCAAATCTTTACTTGCTCTGCAGTAATGGAGCTGAACTCTGTAAATACTTCTCCCATGACAGATGGTTTGGCATTATGCTTGAACACTGGGGGGCCACTGGAGGAAAAGGCTTCTTTTTTGGCTTCTCATGTGCTTATCTCCGTTGGCTCCTGCAGAGCACAGGGTTCCTTTCAGCAGTGCCCTATGGCCAGCAACAAGCAGCAATTTCCCAGAGCAGCTTCCCCCAGTAAACTGCTTCTTGGATGGCTTTATGGTGTGTTGCTGGCAAAGCACTTTTCTGTAAGTGTCTTCTCTGGGCACTTTGCAGTGAATTCTGAGATAAAGTCACCTCCTTGGCAGTAGCTTTTTCTAGTACTCCAGAGAGAGAATTTCAAATGAGTCCTGCTGAGGCCACACCTCAGTGAACTTTGACAGCCAGTGAGCCACAGTCATGCCCTCTCCAGCAATGAGATGCCATGGGGTGTTGGGAGGGTGGCGTACAGTGGAGCTCTTCCTTGGCCACTCTATTTCAGTCCTAGGAGTGGCTGCTCCCTAGACCTACCATTCCTGTATTGCAGGAATTATCTCTGCCTCTTACTAGCTAACTCCCCTTTACTCTAATTCCATTAACTCTTTATAGTAAATGTTCTCTGTTCAAATTAGTGTGATTTTCTCCTCCTGACTGGACCCTGTCTGAAACCTTCATTTAGCCTTAGTTCAAAATATAATTAAATATTTAATGTTCACCAATTCTCCTGGCATTGTCTGTCTGTCATTTGTGTGACTGTGCTTTTTTTTTTTTGGTAGACTGCTCAAGAACTCAAGTGAATAACGTTTTCTGAGTTATCTCATTTGATAACAAATTAAGTCTATGCTTTTAAACTTGAAAATCAGTTTTGCTGAGTACAAAGACCTTGGTTCTTATTTTCTTTGAATTTTTAAATGTCTCACTGTCTTCCTCTCACTATCTTCCTTTTCTTTCATTCATAAGTTACTTTTTTGGCCTAATAACCACTTTTCAAAATGTGAAGTCCAGTAATTTTACTAGAATACATCTTGTTCATTCTCAGTGTTTTCAGACACAGTATGCTCTTTCAGTATGTGGCTTCAATATGTATATACATATTTATATATAAATATATGTGAGTATATGTAAATATTATATTTCAGGAAAAGTTCTCTTGAATTATAGTGTATTCAAGAACCAATGCACAAAACCAATGCAACTGATCTGATAACTAATTCTTTGTAATCCAAGACTATTATTTTGTGTAGTTGTATTTGTTCTGTTAGCTAGATTGGTGTTCTTTATCAGAGATTATACATATGCTGGATCTTTTTTTTTTCTGGCCCATTTCCAATATTTATCATTTCTTTCAAATCATTTCAATGTCTTTCTGTATTTCTTTTTGACTTAAGAAAAATCTCATTTTCAAATTCTAGTTCTCTTTGGGCATTGCCTATTGTGTTTCTTTACTCCTGTGTTCCTTCTAGTTTAGTATTCTTTCTGAAATCACTTTTTATTGCTATTTCTTCCCCAAATTCAATTACTTCATTTCTGAATTTTTCTTATTGTTTTTTTCTTTCATGTCCTATATCATTTTCTTAATATGCTCATAGTTTTTAAATGACTTTTTCAGTATTGACATTGTGAAAGCTTTGCATTTGTAGTTTGACCCCACCTTCTCGTATTTGGAGTTTGTGGAGTTATCTGTCATCCACAGTAGTTTTATTGTAAAACTATATTGTAAACTTTATTGTAAAATGTTTTTCCATGCATTTTTTGTTTCACTACATACTGTTTTTACGTGGGGATTCATGGATATTAAAAACTCATATTTCCGAACCCATTTATATTTTGACTCATGTATACTCTCTTTCTATATCCCTGAGACTTTAATCCTCAGCTGAGTGTGATGGTAAGGGGCTAAGGCTGATCAGGATATTGTTTGGATTTTTAGTGGTGCGTTATACCACATCCTCATTCTTGAGAGATGATTCACTTGATTATAACATTCTAGGTTGTCAATAATTCCCCCTCTGTAATATATATTTCCCACTATCTTCAGCATATATTTTTACTTTTGCAAATTTGGCTTCCAATTTAAATGTCATTTCTTTGTAGGTAGGATATATTTTAAATGTTGCTCTTAAGATCATTAAAATTTTCTTTCTTAAATTCATCATGATCTGTTGTTTTCTCAAGATTTTTCTTCAATCTAAAGAGTCATCTTTCTTCAATTCTAGAAAATCATTGACCAGTATTTCTTTGAACTTTGCCTCTTTTCTCTTTTGAAATGTCTATTAAATGTAGAAGCTCTGAAATTGTTGGTTATGTAAGGTAAAACAAAATTATTTTTTGTTTAAGCCAGTTGGAATGAAATTTATTACTGAAACAGAAACTCTTTTCTCAAAGGCAAAGTCAGAGGAAAAACAAAAACGAAATGATCCCTTATCATTTGATTATCTGTAACTAGCTATCCTTTAAACCTAAACTACTCCTGCTCTTTTTAGTTATCCAAGTCAGTAAAAAATTCACTTATGATTTCCTCTGTTAAATCAGTTGCAATTGAATTTCTGACAATTACAACCAGTAATCCTGATTAACTATCTACTATGTGGGTGGCACTGTGCCAGCTATTATATAATCAGTTATTCAAAACAAAGTCCATGTCTTCAGTAAGCACAGTATTTCCCATTTGTTCCATGCCATCTTCATTTCTTTGTTCCTGCTTCTGCTGTCTCTGCCACCCAAACTTGGAATGCTTTTTTGTTTAAACATTACAACTTCCTCACAGTTGACTTTAAAACCAAACTTGTAAGGGTAAACTTTCTAGCTAATGGCTACCATGATCTTTCCTCTACTTTGGATTCATATTATACTCATATAGTCTTAAATAGGTCTTCAAATGTTTCGTCCAAGTCCTTCCCTTTAACCAAGTCATCAGTTTTTTAAGGGCAAAAAATTACACCTTTTACTTTTATATCTCCCAGAACACAGTCAATAGGGATGTGACCTTTTTGCATCCTTATTAACAAGTACACACACAGTACTTGGTCCTTGTAGGTCTCCTGTATAGTACATATACATATTGCTATCAATCAACTTAAGAACATAGAAAAGTATATTAAAATATAAATGTAGGAGGTCTAAGGTGCTATACATACAAGGTCTGTCCAGAAGGTATCCAGCCATGTACTATGACAAATAGAGATGTTTACTGAAGAAGAAATAAGATACAAGAAACATTGTACATAGGACAATGAGCCTCAGTCCCCTTCAAAGTAGGCACCTCACACAGTTCTTCCAATCATCATCAGCTGCCTCGCTGCATTTTCCTGAATCTCAGACTGTCTGAAATTACCCCTCTTTCCTTCTCTTACAACGAACATATCTGCAGCTGAGCCACTCTCTTCACGTATGTCCCGGTTTGGTTATTAATTTCTTAACCTCTTAAGGGCGTATGTCTTATAGCACCTTGAGTACGAATGGATGAGGACGTTAGTTTGAATGAATGCAGGAAGAAATAAACAAGTTTTGTGCCCAAAGAACAAAACAAATGAGGCTCGGTAACAGAAAAAGGAAGAAAAACTGACGCTATTTCCAGGGAGCTTTCTAGGAAATTCTCTTCCAGCATTAGCAGCTTCTACCCTGACAGTCTGAATCCCGCTCCGGTGGGGTTAGATGATCTGAAACCGCCCCTCGGCCTTAGACTTCATTAAGACCTCAAGAGGTGGGGGTTGAGGGGCCGATAACCGTCTGGACCCAACAACCTAGAAGCCAAGGACTCCGAGCGGACAAGCCGCCAATCTCTGAAGCTTGTACCAGGGCCGCAACCCCACTATCCGATGTCTCCCTCCCACGCTGGACTCCACTCCACCCTGCGGCAGGCGACACAGCGTAGGGGCGGGGTTTCCGTTTCCGGTGGTGGATTGTTGACGCCTGTGGCTGCTGGGCTGCTGCGGTGGCTACAGGGCCGTTGGGGAGGGGCCAGTCGGAAAGGGAGAAGGCGCAGTGACGAGAGAGCTGAGGGTGCTGCTGAGGCGAAGATGGCAGAGGGGCCGGAGGAGGCCCGAGGCCGCCCTCCTGGGCAGGATGATGGCGGAGGGGACCATGAACTAGTCCCATCCTTCAGAGGCCCTCCTTCTGCCGCCACCCCACACCCCCAGGACGGACCGCAGGCCGAACCTCAGGCCCCGGGCCTCCAGCCTTCTGCGGCGGCCCCAGAGGGGTCAGAGCCACAGCGCGAGGAGGCGGCGTCCGACTGCGGCACGGGGCTGCAAGAGGTGGCGGGCTGCGAGGCGCCCGAGTCGGCGTCGCCGCCAGAGAAGCCGGCGCGGCTGAGCGCTCGGGAGTACTCCCGGCAGGTGCACGAATGGCTGTGGCAGTCTTACTGCGGCTACCTTACCTGGCACAGCTGCCTGGCCGCCTTCCCAGCCTACTGCAGCCCGCAGCCGCCCCCACCGCCACCCAGCTACCCCTCTGGCAGCGGGGCCACCCCCCAGGCCGCGGCGCCGCCGCCCCTCCACCTGGGCTATTACAACCCCTTCTACTTCCTGAGCGCCGCCACAGCCGGGCCTGACGCGGGGGCGGCTCCCGCCTTCAGCACTCCCGCTCCAGTCGCGGGCCCGGGACCCCGGGCTCCTCCTGTTCAAGGGTCCATCCGGACAACCCCAGCAACGAGGGTAGGATCCGCCGCCCCTTCGCGAACTCCGAGCGAGACCGGGCGCCAGGCAGGTGAGAAGAGCTAGCGAGCGGTTGGGTAGAACAGAAGGGTCTTGAGAGAACTATGTGGGAGGTGGGGTAGGCTCGCTTTTTACACGTGTAATTGCTGCTGCTCCTCCGATTGATGTCCCTCCGCGTGCTTCAGCTGTAGTTTGCCCAGGCCTTAAATTGCGAAAGTGTACAGAGAGGCTGTACAGTTTCTTCTTCTTTTAGACATGGCACTGCGAATTGATTGCCTTGTTCCCGGGACTAGTCGTTCCGAGTGTAAAGAAATCTCCGCCCCTCAAACCGTCCTTTTAATTTCACGCTCTGAAGAGTGAGAGCCAAAGCTTAATTATCAGATGGCATACCTACTTGGGGGTGGGGGTGGATGTCGGGGGGTTGATGGGTAATGCTGGGAATAATCCAGATGTAGATTTATTGTATTTTATCTATATATTATAGGATATATGGTAATATAGAATTAATTCTGTATTGCTTTTATATTAAGGACAGTGGAACTGATGGACATAAAAGGAGATTTACATGAAAACAAATGGAGTTATGAACATTTGTTTGGGCCCAGCTGAATGACCTTTATATTGTGTTTACTTCTGTATAAGAACTAAAATATTTTGCATTAGTTACACTTCTTAGTTTATCATTTAGAGTTTCTGTTTACTTTATTCAGCCACAGATGTATGAGACAAGAATTAGTTCTGAATTTGATCCCATTCAGAATTCAGTATGACAGACTGACGTATGTTATTATGTAGAAAGCAAGACAAACTAAATGAGTAAGAGGTAAAACGAACACAGGGATTTACTTTATACTAATTGTTTATATTTAAGCTTGATTTTTACTAAAAAATATCTAATTTTCTGTCATAGGTTTGTGATCATCTTACTCTTTTTAAGTCCCTAGTGAAATGCACTGAGGACCTTAAATAAATTTATCTGTGAAATCATTTTTTAAACATTGAGGTTAAAGCAAACTTTAAACTCTTCATAAACAGTTGAGTGATGTTGCTGTATTTTAATAGCATTGTACTATGGGTGGAGTCAATGCCAATGATTGTTGGGGGGGCGGGGTGTGTGTGTGTGTGTGTGTGTGTGTGTGTGTGAGAGAGAGAGAGAGAGAGAGAGAGAGAGAGAGAGAGAGAGAGAGAGAGAAAGTACCTTGACTTTACATTCTCCCTTTTTATACCTAGCTTGGGTTCCAATGTTCTGTGAAATGATTAGTTTTCCTAACTTTACTTTTTTTAATTTACAGGCAGAGAGTATGTTATTCCATCCTTGGCCCACAGATTTATGGCAGAGATGGTGGATTTCTTTATTCTCTTTTTTATAAAAGCAACCATTGTCTTAAGCATTATGCACCTCAGTGGAATAAAGTAAGTCAAGACTGTTTGCAGAAAGGCTTATTAAAACCTACTACCTAGAAATCTTATTTTGTTGAGTTCTTATTCATGGATGCAAGTGACCGTATGGATAATCAGCTTGCCAGTATCATTATTTCTTTATAGGAGCATCATGAGATTTGTTTTTTCCTGTTAGTTTTAAGAAATAACTACAAAAAAGAGAATGACATGTAATAAATCTTGCCAAATCTGTGCGAATCTCACCTATCAAAATGGGTAAAAGGAGCCCCCAAGCCTGGTTTGATTTTATTCAACCATTTTCTCAGGCAGAACTCATTTCCCTCTTACTAGGTATAGCTTTTGGTAGATGAACTATGTTAATTATCAGCTAGATGGCATTTCCAAATGGGATTGCTTATGTTATTAGGGAAGTCCCAAGTGAACTGCAAAGTGTACTATTTGAATAATCCACCTTTCGTATTAATGATCATAGTAGTAATTATCACTTGCTAAGTACTTTCTACATGCTAGGCATTGAGCTCACCTCTTTATATGGATTCTTAATCTTCCACCATTGTGAGCTGTAGAGGTTAATACCTCCATTTTATTGATATTGAAATTTGGGTTTACAAGAAGCCCAGAATTTACTAAATTGTGAAGATAATAAATGACAGACACAAACGCTTGTAGTCAAAATTAAGGGTTCTTGCCAGGAACCTCAGTGTTATTCTGATTCCTTTCTGCCTCTTCCTCTCCTAACCTGTCCAAGCACCAGCTCCTTTCTATTGAGTCCCCTGAATAACCTTCAACCCAAACCATTTTTTAATCATTGCCTCTCCTAGCTCAGTTACTGTCATCTGTTGCCTGCATTATAGCAAGTTTTCCAGCTGGTGTCTCAGTCTTCTGTTTTATCTCAATCTGGTCTCTGATACACAACCAGAGATCATAAATTGATTCTGCTCTTTTCCAGCCTTAAAACCCTTCCTTCCATGCTTCCTCATTGTCACCAAGATAAACTTTAAGATACCCTTATTTCTTAATCACTGTTTCCTCTTATACTTAATATTTGAGCCACTCCAAACTGCTTATACTTCCATCACTCTCTTGCTCTAAGGCTTTCTCCCTTGTTAGTTCCTCTCTCTGAATCTTCTCCCTTATTAGTCTGGCTAATTTCTGTTCATCCTTCAGATCTCAGCTTAAATGTCATTTCTAGGAAGCTTCTCAAGTTAAATGTACCCGGTGTGTGTTTCATTAGCACCCTGTGATTTCCTGACAATTCTCATCTCACTTTATTATTACTTACTGTTCTGTCTCCCTGCTTGGTTAGAATCTCCATGAAAGCAGACACCATGTTGAATGCACACGCCACTATGTCGCCAGGGCTTGTACAGTGCCTGCTCCTGATAGTGTTGCCTGTTTGTTGAGTAAGCTTATGTTTTATGGAACTGGTGGTTGGAAACCTAAAGATTACTTTAGAATTTCAATTAAAGTTTATGACTAACACTAATAGAAAACAAAAACCAATGCAGCTGATCTGCTAACCAATTCTTTATAACCCAAGACTATTATTTTGTGTAGGGATATCTCTAAGTTTGCTATGCATTATATAATAGAAGAAATAGATGAAGACACATCAATGGAAGACTTGCAGAAAATGATGGTTGTGGCTCTTATATACAGATTATTAGTTTGTTTCTACGAGGTAAGCTTTTGATTTCAACAAATACTAATATTTAATTTTAGATTATCAACCCAAAGAAAAAAACTAATGAAAATTTATAATTCTTTATGTATTTGTCAGATGTCTCTATTTTTTCCAAATATTTTTAACATAAAACTTTCCAAATTAAAAGAACTTTATAAGTGGAGACATTTTATAATTTCTTTATAGATTTCTATCTCATGGTCCAAAAAATGTACTTGTAAATTAGTTGTGGAACTTGAAATATATTTTTCCATACAAACAACTGGCTTATCAAGAAATACTACAATAAACAACTGGTGGTATTGAAGATGTTCTCTAACATCTTAAGAATATGCATTTAAAGGTTAACCTTTGAGTATTCTGGGAAATTCTTTCAACTTGAAATTTTTTAAACATCAATAATATGGCAGAAAAACTTACTTTTAAAATTGGTATGATTGAGCCCTGGCTGGATAGCTCAGTTGGTTAGAGCATCATCCCCATACACCAAGGTTGTAGGTTTGATCCCCGGTCAGGGCACGTACAAGAAACAATCAATGAATGCATGAATAAGTGAAACAATAAATCGATGTTTCTCTCTCCCCCCCTTACTCCCTCCCTCTCTAAAAATAAAAAATAAATTGGTATGGTTGAGCTGGTAAATTTTTAAATTATCCTTCTTTCCTTAGATAATCTGCATTTGGGGAGCAGGCGGAGCTACCCCAGGGAAGTTCCTGCTGGGGCTTCGAGTTGTGACATGTGATACATCAGTGCTTATTGCACCAAGTCGGGTTTTAGTGATTCCTTCCTCAAATGTTAGCATTACAACGTAAGTTATTTTGTTGTTTTACTATGTATTTAGGAAAATTAAAGGTTTTAGTTGTCAATATAGTTCATAAGATACCATTTAATACAGTATTTTTAGGATGTTGGTATTTTTTCTTCATGGTGTATTATAATAGGCTTACATTCATTAAAACAAAGTTTATTGTTTTTCAATTACATGATTGTAGACTGCTCTTCAGTATATATTTCAAGAGAGTCATTTTTTGAACTACAAGTCATAAGATGATGATGATCGGGTGTCATTGCTATCTGTCAGTGCCTCTTGTCTTGCCTAGCCTAGCTTTTTCATTCTCTGGACAGATATTGGGTCTGGTACTGATCTGCCTTGAGCCTCCACTTGGCAATGCATGTCATCATCCCATCTTTGAATGGGCAGTAAGAGTTTCGGTTAACTATGCATGCATGCATCAGGCTTGTAATACTCCCAGTACTCATGGTTAGCTTCCTCCTCTGGGACAAAGTACAAATGGTAATAATGGAAGTTGTGAAGGTGAGTAGGTGGTAATCATCTGAGCAAAACAAGGTACTGGCTGGAATTGCTGCTGGAATGATTCAGAGCTGAACTATAACTAAATCCTAATAACCTTCTAATATAGGTACTGTTATTTATAGATGTGGAGCACAACTTGTGATTGCCACAAAGTAGATCTGAAGCCAGCTACCTGGATCCAGAGTCCACTCTTAGCCATTGTGCTTTTCTATAGCCTTTGAATATACTAAGGGCAAAAATCTAATATTTGTAGGGTAATTCTCCATTCTATTTTTGAAAGGTTCCATTTTGGGGTTTTAACTTTTTAATCAAATCACAAGATCTCACAAAGAGAGCTGATAAGACAACACAGTAATTTAAAATGCCAGTGCTGCCCTGGCTGGTGTGGCTCAGTTAGTGGGAGCGTCTTCCTGTAAACTGAAAGGTCTCAAGTTTGATTTCTAGCCAGGGCTTTTGCCTGAGTGGCAGGTTCAATCCCTAGTAAGGAAGCATCCAAGAGGCAACTTCTGTTTCTCACATGTTTTTCTCCCTCCCTTCCCCTCTCTCTAAAAATCAAAAAGCATGTCCTTGGGTGAGAATTAAAAAAAATGGTAGTGCTTCATAAAAGGTAGAAAATGAGCCTGAAGTATATTCAGTTTAGATACTAAAAACTCACAGGAATGAATATTAAAAAAGGTAAGTAAAAGGAATTTTTTTTTTCTGGCAAAATACTAGGAAATACTCTAGAATTCACATTGTAAGACATAGTACTGCTTTTCATGTGAAAGATCTAGTCTTTTATGTTGATGAAATCTTTAGAACTAGCAGATGGTTTGGTTGTAAAGATACTTGAAAGTAACTCAGGTATCAAAGGTAAAAATTTTCAACTATACTTTGAATGTTTTAAATACATATTTTGAACTTGATAGAATAATCATCTATAAGTGATGTGTATACCATTTATCTGAATTTTTTTTTTTTGCTTTATTTTTTCTTAGGTCCACTATACGAGCTTTGATCAAGAATTTTTCTATTGCTTCCTTTTTCCCGGCTTTCATCACACTGCTCTTTTTCCAGCATAATCGAACAGCTTATGACATTGTAGCAGGAACCATTGTGGTAAAAAGAAATGGGGTCAGATGATGCCCACAAAAGCCCTGAATTCCATACTCTCTGGAATAATGACAAAACTAAATTATGTATCAAGGCCACCAGTATCCCTGGGCTCCATTAATTGGTAATTTATAAATTAAAGCAGTCACTACAGTGTGATACGGGTGACTATTCTGAAAGTATTCATTTTACTTGAATGCCAAGAACCTTTCCAGAAGAAAACCTGTTGAATTCAAGTGTTAAAATTTTAGATCAAAAAGGAGGCAAGTGGTTTCATAATCAACAGTGGACAATGTATACTAAGACCTGAGGCATAAGAATTTGCTGAAAGCATTTTTAGCTTTGAAATCTCCAAATGAAACTTTAAAAAATTATTTTGGTTTATCCCAAAATGATGGAAAATGTCCAGTTGTGTTTTGTAAACACATTATTCATCTTTTAGTGAACACTTCAATTGTCTTTACTTTGGGGGGGGAGGGGCGGGTAGTGAGGACACAAATTTGATAATCCACGTATCTCCTATCGCAAGAGGTGGTGAGTTAGCTGCAAGAGAAAGGGGCAAGTGAGGCAGGCCTGGCAGTTCCCTTACATAAGTTTTAAAATCTGTACTGCAGTTTACAATTATTCTTAATGCTTCAACATGTATTTTGGGGCAGTTTTGCATGATGATGAAAAAGTATTGTCATATTGCTATATTTACATTGACTTTTTAAAGACAAGTTAGTGATTGCTTTTTATAGGGGAGCAGGGGGATTTTCACTGTAAATTTAACTTGCATTTCATGTGCAGGTATTTTTAATGCCCTAAATCAAACTATAAATAAGTGAAGAAAAATTACTTCCACCACACTGTTGTATATTTACTTTAAAACAATATTCCCAGTATGTGTGCAGCATGAAAAAAGTATTAGTGCTTCTCAGTGTTCTGAATATAACTGCTCTTTATACACAGGATATTTTACACACTACTTTCCTTTTCCATTTTATATCATCTCATAACTTTTGAAACATCGAGTTACACAATCTGAATACTTCATGATTAAGTACTGGCAGCCTGTGAAATACTAGATTTTTATCTTATGGATGTTCTAAAACAAGGAAAAGGAGTATTCCAGGGTATTATCTTAAGTTCTTCGGTTCTGTGAGCCAAAATCTTCTATTTTGGGACTGCAAGGGATGACGACTTGAGGGAAATGTTAATAAGCAAAGTAACACTGCGTATTGCCATTTTAATTTATTTTTCTATTGAAGCAAAGTTAGGGAGTTGCAGGTGTATGTGTGTGCTTTTGTTAGGTGGCCCAGTAAAGCTGTGTTGAGATCTACCTGAACTAATAAGTTTTGTTTCTTAGACGTTTGCTCCAACTGATACTATTTAAAAAAAAAAAAGACCAAACAAACTCTAACAACACTAAACTGTGTTGGACAGTTCATAATTAGATTGTTTAAAAGGGTCGATCCAGGCTGTTTTTTTGGTCTTAAGTTTATTAGCAAATGTAAGACACATCTATATCACTATCAGTTTTAAAAGTGGGTTTTCCTTTGATATTTAAAACTGTGAAAATATCTACATTTGATGGCTATAGGAACCGAAACAGTGTCCTTATTAATGACTTTTTTACTGTAGAAATTCCATGTTTTTCAAAGTACTGTTATGTTAAACCCAACATCAGAAAACACCTCTCAGTTAAGTGTATCATAGTATTAAACAGACCACTGACTTTTAGCCTCTGGGAAAATGTTATGGCCCTTCACAGTAAAAATAATAAAACTAAAGTTTTATAAGGCTAGAAATCAGGTAATGTTACATAAACTTACCACTTAGTGTACACATACACTATTTTTGTCATCGATTGGGAATTCCAAGGTGAAATGTCCTTCAGTCACGTAACTCGAATTTAATGTACTATTTCTTCTCAGATATTGGATGGTTTATCATCTAGACTATTTTTATTTATATAGTAAAACAAACAAATAGTCCTGTTTATCTTGTTACACCTGAAAGAGTGCACATCTGTGTAGGTTCATTTAGATCCATCTCAGTATTCAAATTATACTATATAGCCCTATAAAATAAATATTTTGTCTGCTTTTACAACAAAAAACTCCCAAGTCTGTTTCAGTTTATGAATTCAGCACTTAGGAAAAGAGACTGTGACTCCCAAATAGTTTGAAATAAAAAGAAAGAATACTGAGGAAGGAGAAGCCCCTTTTTCTCTTGGGGTTGTGGAGAGTGGAGAATCCTTTTCAATGTTTTTCTATTTAGTGTTCTAAATACTAAAAATTCTAATTTTGTGTCAAAGTGTAATTCTCATGCTGAAGCTCTAGGCATAAAAGCAGAAAGTTGTCTTCATAGTACAAACATTCACCACTTTCACAATATAAGCAAATAATGGCACAAAAAGTAGTCAAGATGAGTGAGAATACTATTCCAATGAATGTGCTCTAAATAAAACCACAGAATGGTTAACTTTAGGCATCTAGAAAATCTCAGTACCCACTACAAAGGTAACCTCTGGCTGGTTCACCTTGAGAAAGTCTGACATTAATTCATGCTGGCCTAGGGTAAGCTAAGTGTGAGTGATGGCAAGCTTTGCTTTTAGACAAGTCCGTGACCATAGAGATAAAGTCAACACTTTTTTTTTTTTTTAAGACAGTAAGCCTTTAAAGTATTACCCGACTGGTTCAGAAGTTACTTCTTACTACCTAAACATTTACCTTCCAGTTTTACCCAAGTATTAAGGATTGGAAAAAAGTGTATTATATGTGAGGGCCACTTTGTCTACCAAAATGAATCTTCAGTGTTTTTTCTTTCAGGTGGTGGTAAATATTGTTTTAACTCTAAAAAAAAGATGTTCCCTTGTGTTTCACTAATGCTTAAAGCATTTCCAGCAAAAGGAAGGCAGAAGTTGAAAATTAAACAATTTGCTACTTGGGAATAAAGGGCTTTTTGAAGGGAATAGGGGCGTTTAATATTTTCATTCTACACCTATCCCAGGCTGTTGTTTCTTTGGAAGAATACTTTTAAATAACAGCAGTATTCCTAAAATCTGACAAGCATTTCAATTATATGCCATTCCCTATCCCCCATACCAGTGGTCAAAATCTTTACAATGTGTACTAGGCTCAGTTAAGTTCTTCATTTCGAACTAAATATGTATTTACTTGCCATCATATAGTTGGGCTTGACCTACAAACAAAATCTGATGTCCTGCCTATAAATAAAGCATTCTATTTTTATCAATTTGTATGCCACCCATTTGTATTCTTTTGTCTCAATAAATATTTGGTCACCAATGCTTTTGTGTTTTGCCCGTTCTTTTGGTTAATTACTTTAGAATCTCCTAAGGGAGACTTTCCTCCCATATACAGCTTTCTGCCTTCAGGAGAGTTACTATGGTAGTCAACCTAGAGTGTTTTCAGAAATACAGGTCTACCAAAATACCATATTTTGCCATGTTTAATGCGCACTTTTTGCCCAAATTTTTGAGGGAAAAATAAGGATGTGCATTATACATGGGTAGTACCTGAAATACCTGGTATCTGTTTTTTAATTATTTGTTATATAAAATTTCTTGCATCATTAATGTTAAAAAACAAGTACCAAAATTACTGTATAATAAACAAGTATCTAAATATAAATAAATGAGTTAAAAAATTAGAACGAAATTTTTTCCTGAAAGTTTGGGCCAAAAACGTGGGTGCACATTGTACACAGGGGCATATTATATGTGGCAAGATCCCATGATCATCCACTTTTTGGGATATATTCTTTTAGCAAATCATTCAACAGTCACCTGTAGATGATTATGCCTAATGTCAAACTAATCCCATCATTCCTTGAAGTTGTTAACTATCCAACTATCATGCAAGATGTTAATGACCCATATTACACGGGAGGAACCAGAAATTGGAAAATCTCATAGCTTGCCCTCGCTGGTGTGGCCCAGTGGATTGAGTGCCATCCTGTGAAACAAAGGGTTGCCAGTTCAATTCCCAGTCAGGGCACATGTGTGGGTTGCGGGCCAAGTCCCCAGTAAGGAGTGCAAGAGGCAACCACACCTTAATGTTTCCCTCTCTTTCTCCCTTCCCTTCCCCTCTCTCTAAAAATAAGATCTTTGTTAAAAAAAACAAAAGTCTCAGAAAATGACAGCTGGGCAGTTTCAATTTAGTTCTGGTCCTACAAGATTTCCTATTCTAACCTTTACAAACCTAGAAGACAGGATACAAAACAGGTTCTTCAAGGACAAAGATAGTGAAGGATAAATATACCTGAACTGTAGGCTGGTCTGAGTCATGTACACAATGTGCTGCTATGAGCTCAGCCACAAACTACACATGGATCTAGAGTGGACTTTCAAGTTTTTAAACGTTGCCCATATAAGGAAATAAAGGCACTGACATAGAAATACAGCTAGTGTATATAGCTAGACCCCAACACATTCATTTCCTCAATTTTACTATACGAAATGTGTCCGTTTTCATTAAACACACAGGCTAACCTTGGTAAAATTTCCATTGAGTTTCCAACTTTATGTAAGTAAGCAGGCCCAGGAAAAGACAGTCATGCCCTGCATAATGTGTCAGTCAACAGTGGTCCCATAAGATTACAAAGGAGCTGAAAAATTCCCATTGCCTAGTGACAACATAGCCATCATACTGCCATAGTACGATGCATTACAAGCGCCTTCAATGTTCAATACGATAACATGCCATACAGGTTTGTAGCCTAGGAGCAACAGACTATACCATGCAGCCCCCAGGTTTGTTTAAGTGCACTACGTGATATTTGCTCAATGACGAAATAACAATCATATCCCTGGTCAAGCAACGCATGATTGTACTAATACAATTAAAGCAAATACAAATTCTTCCCAGGCTAAAACGTTTAAGGCTTGATTATTTGTTAAAATTAGTCAAACACTTTTATTTCAAATAAAATCTTAACACAATTTCAGGGGAGAATTTCTAACAAATAATAAGCTTAAAGACAAGTTTTTCCATGGTCTGAATTGTACTTTTGCTTTCTTAATGCCTGAAATCATAAATTACTCAAAACAACCTAGGACTTAAAGTGGCAAGTCTTCCAGGTGCTTATTTAATGATGCAGATTTTTAGACTTTACCCAGACCCAGTGAATGAATCCCTAACGAGGAGGTCCTAGAACAACCATTTGACACAGTTAATTACACTGATGGTACATTCAGGGAGAACTACAAACCCTCTTTGTCAACCAAATTATATAAACATACCTGATTATTCTTCCTTTTTACATAAAGCATTCCTCTGTTCAAAGACTATTTTCAGTTAAAAACAATTCCTCATTGGTCCAGCATGGAAAGTGGGCTAATACTGTTTTCCTCCCACGTTTACCCCTCTTCCACAAACAGCCCTCAATTTTCACTTGCATATGGAGCATATAACCCTAGGCTGCTATCACAACCACAGGGAGTGGATCAGAAGTGGGCCTAGGGACTAAGCCTGTCTGATGAGAAGATAACCTCTGCTGAGCTTGAGCAGGGAGAGGTTGGAAGTCTGAGCTGCTACCATAAATAGACTCTAGAGCTGCCATGTGTAGCCTGAGAATTACAGCCACTGAGATGGAAAAAACAAGGGCCAAGTCCTGAATACAGCCCTGTATATTTCAGTTTAGGGGGCCAGAAGTGTTTATTTTTAAGAAAAGCTACTTTAAGTAGGGTTTTCAGTCACTCGTTTCTTAAAAAGTTGCTAAGCAGAATAAAACCTTCCTAGCACATTTCTTAGGAAAAATCCTTCCTGGAGAAGAAAGCCTGATGCTCCCAGCCAGACTGGCCTAGAGAATGGCGAAGAAGAAATGCACCTGTGATTTCACTACGCCCGAACTTCTCAGCAGTAAAACCACAAGTTTCCAGTTTACTTCTTCCAACATTCCTATCACTGTTTGCCTCCAAACTGGGCCGTGTCAAATGTATATTATAAATACAAAACTTCTACCCCCAAACCAGCACTGGATGATGGCCTAAGATATTTTTAAAAGAAAAAATATCTTTTCACTGTAAACATACACCAAAAAGCTAAACATTTTTGACGTTCTGAATTTACACTCCAACCAGCAGGTCAGCAAAACACAAGTCAGCATAACATAACTGTACATTCAAAATGGAGAATAAAATTATCAAATGCTACCCCACAAGAGCTCGTTTATGGCCCACGGAAATCTAGTTTTAAAAAAGCTGGTAAAATAATCTGAAAAATTACACAAAAGAAACACTGACGTTTTTGTGGGCTGCTCAGCCCATGTACATAGCTCCAAGAACTCAATCAAAAACCAGCGTGTAGCCCCGGTCAGATAGCTCAGTTGGTTAGAGCATCGTCCCAATACACCAAGACTGAGGGTTCAATCCCCAGTCAGGACACATACAAGAAGCAACCAATGAATGCATGAATGAGTGGAACAACAAATCGATGTTTCTCTCTCAAAAACAAATAACACTGGCTGGTGTGCTGGCTGGTGTGGCTCTGGACTGAGTGCCAGCCTGCAAAACAAATGGCCACCAGTTCGATTCCCAGTCAGGGCACATGCCTGGGTTGTGGGCCAGGTTCCCAGGGGACAGATGAGAGGCAACCACACATTGATGTTTCTCTCCTTCTCTCTCTCCCTCCCGTTCCCTTTCTCTAAAAATAAATGACTAAAATCTTTTTAAAAAATCAATTAATAATAATGAAAGGGAAAAAGGACAACCAGTCTAGTCACCTACCAAGGAACATTCAAGTACAAACAGAAATAGCTGTGTGTTTATTTCCAATTTTTAAAAAGGTATGTCAATTTACGTATATGCAAAGTAGGCATGACTCCTAACACCAGACAAAAAGCAGGGTACCTTCAATGTTATAAATTCAGACATTTTCCCCTTCACTTAGGAGTTATCCAAATCACTTAAAAGCATTCTCGGAAACTTCTGACCATTATTAATCTTTAAAAAAAGGGTTCCCTTCCAGAGTTAATACTAGAACAAAAAGGATTTCACAATTTTTTTATTGATGGCATTTATCCCATGGTTTAACATGTTAATTATACTGTAATAAACATGGCTTTAATATTAAACTTTTCCTTATTATCCAAAGTCACCACAGTCCATTTCAGTAAATATAAAAATATATGCTTAATACTTTTTACAATACTGGTTTTTGGTCCAAACAAAACTGGATCAGAAAAGCCAATAAATTCACTTTAAGAATCCCCAATTTTTTTTTTAAAGATTTCCAAATGGATTTAGGCAACTTTGAATAATGGGATTTACATAATAAAATCTGAGACAAGACTAAACAAACAACAACAAAAATTCTAACACAAAATTAAAACTTCAAGTTCACAGATTTATGTTATGCCAAAAAAGTACAGAAACAAAATTGTATTTACACAAGTTTCATAATAAAATAAGAAAAAGGCAAGACAGGTGATAGAAGAATGAAAATATAGAAATAGCATATAATTATTAAGTGGAGAAGGAACTAGATCTAACAAGTCCTTAGCATGGACCATTCTTTAATCAGGCTTCCTCTATCAGAAAATTTTAGTGCACAATACACCCAACTCACTCACTTCACACATACACCAGCACAAACTCAGCATAGAAATCATTCATTTCAATATTCTCTAATCTATACAGAATTCCTCAAGATATAATTACAATATTAATGCGTTCCATAAACGCATATCAACGCACATAATGGTGCAGACAAAGAAGTTCTATACAAAGCCATTCACTGAGCGGGCTCTATTCCTGAATTCAGCCAGCCTAAGCCAAATCAGTGAATAATTTGCTGGATCATAAAATACTTTTGCTGAAGAATCAGTCATCAGTCTAGCTATTATTGTTTTTAAAAGGGCATGGCGAGAGGTGATGGCGGGGCTTTTGTAAAGAAAGAAGAGGAAAATTCCAAAATTAAAGAAATCCTTAGGCAGATTTGACTTCAGATAACCCCAGCATGTAGTACAATCCAGTATCTAAAAGCAAGACACCAGCTTTTGTTAAAACTTGTGTGTAACACCATTGTGACCTTTATTTCCTGCGTCTAACAGCAGTCTTTATCTTGCGACCAGAAACTGATGTTCCAGAAGAGAACATACTTTTCCCATTTGACCTGTGAAAAATAAAAACTTCAAAATGTGACATGATGCTCAAAACTTTAGAATCATAATATAACTCTAAATGTGACCGGTGACAAGGAGGGGGGAGAAGAGACACTGTTCAAGTAAACAAATTTTCTGTTGTACCCACCTCCCCCCACACTCATACCCCCACCCCCAT